ATTAGGGAACGACCCGCTCTTCCTCTGAGCCACAAATATATATCTATATTTTTTAGTGTGTTGTTTTTATTACCTTCTTTTTTGAAGTTATGTGAAGTGTCTTTGAGTTCCTAGAAAAGCACTCTATAAATAAAATGTATTATTATTATTATTATCTATTTTAGGTGCTCTTCAATCTATGCATCAGTGATCTGCCTTAAACATGTATTGCAGCAAATGTACACTTACAATTTTTACAGAAGCTACAAGTGACTTTAAACATTCCTTAGTGTGATCTTAGCTTTGTCTCTCTGCTTTAAAAAAACAAGGTATTCATTTTGTGCCAAAACCAAATTCAACCCAACCTCCTGCATGTACCAATGGAACTCCATAGATGATAAAGATAACCTTGAACCTTGATTTTATTCATTGTGTGGCTTCAACTGAACTTTTATTATGAAACGTATGCCATTAAGAAAACAGTCACACCTCTACTACAATCACTTCCTGAAACTATAACCTAAATATCCCTACATCACTGCATTCAATATCAGAACAGCAATATGCAGATGACCACCACAAATCATCGGCTCGATTTTAAACAGTGGTGAGAGGAAATCAACAATCTTACAGAGTGGTGTGCAGAAAACAACTGCCCAACATCAGCAAAACCAAGGTCCTGATTGTTGATTTTAGGGGCAATAGGCAAAGAGACACTACCCTGTTTACATCAGTGGAGCTGAAGTAGAGCTGGTGAACAGTTTTTGTTCCTGGGAATCAACACTGAAGAGAACCTGTCATGGTCATGTTACATCTCCACCCTGGTTAATTAAGGACAGAAACAATTGTATTTCTTGAGGAAAGTTAAGGAAATTAATAGTTTTTTTCAAATGTTTTTATTTAAAAAAATCATTAATCAATGTTAATGTATATATTTATCTATATCTGAATATCATTCTACAACCTTGCATTGTAAATGACAATGAAATAACCTTGAATCCTTGAAAAAAAGGACCCCTCCTCTAACCAAGACTGGTAACTGGACATAAATATAGCATAACGGTAACAGAGCATAGGACTGCTTAACGTTTGTCAGTGTAGATATATTGGTTTGGGTTTACGCTAGCTAAGTTTACAGAGAGCCTGATATTGTGACTATAAACGGTTTAAAAGCACAAGCTGAATAAAAATGCTCCATAGAGGTGTAGTTTAAACCTTTTTTATAAACCCATAGAAAAAAAAATTGTACCGTGTAAACGATATAACCTTGCTTCGTTTGCCCTCTGTCTTGAAGTAATGTTCCTCTACTTACAAGCTGCATTGGAGTTCTGAGGAGTTTGTTTTCTTAAAAAACTGAGCATTAATGGACGCCTAGATGGTAGGAAAAAAAAACTGAACAAAGCCAGGATAGACCAAAGTGATGAACAAATTAAAAATGCTGGAAAGCTTTGAAGACCACCTAATACAAGTCTAAATTGTAAATTCTAAAGTGGATGCAATGAAAGCATTGACAAATTCATCACGTTTACGTATTTCACATAGCTCTTCAGATTTAATGGGTTGGCACTTGTAAACACCAGACTGTATTACATCTCATCCCATCCCCAAAGCTTCAACTAGAATGATTTCAATCAGACAACTACTGAGGTTTATTGTTGTGATGTCTTTCATAGTTCTGCATGCAAACTAACCATACTTTTTTCTAACCGGGCATCATTATCCTACACAGATGATAGACATATACCTTGAACATTCCACACATTCCCTTTTGTTCTTTAGTTTTGTACATTTAGTTAAGATTACATATTATGTCTTTTTATTCTTATTACCTTTTAATTAAATGCTTTTGAATATACATGCTGGTCTATTTAATGTTGCACAAGAGTGAATGCTGCCAATTTCTACTATAACAGAACTCCAAAACCCCTCAACCCTTACAAGCTATTGATCTGATATGTAGTTATTCATTTAATTATGACTTCCAAATTGACAGTATACTTAATAAGACTAAATTAATTTATCCTTTCTAAAGGTTGGTGCCCTGAGATCAATTTAATTCAAGTTAAATTCTATAAATATTGATAATTTCTCATTGCCTGCTGCACCCACACTACCAGATTCAGACCATCTGACCTAGCCTTTGGGACATGTATAAACCAGTCTCTTCTGTAAATTAGTGGGAGTAATAAGAAAGACATGATGCCATTTTGGAATCTGAAATTCAATCAGGATGGTATTCGTCACACATAAATAAACTTCAGGCTTGGCTGCCAACTTGTCTTTGTTGACTAGAAAGTTGGCACAGACTATCTGATGACTTTTCATGACTTTGCTACATTGTAGCAATTCAACAGTGAGTTTATGATATTTTCCAACAATTTTGGACATTATTGTGACTGTCTCTAGTTAACAAGGAACAGATGTGTTTGCCAGTTGTCTGTTACTGCAACAGTTAAAGCTGAACAATATAGAAAAGATTTATCATTGATCTCCTATAACATTGTCAAAAATTCATAAATGATGCAGCAGAGATACATTTTTTATTCCACAAAATCTTCTTCCTTGTCCAACCAATCACCTACATTACCCACTATGCATTTCACCTGCAGTTCGGTCATAGATTCAAGTGTATTATGCTAGATGTCTAGACATCTATTGACATGCACATCACCAAATGAATGCTTCCTGGCAGTTTAATATTACCTTGTAGTGAAAGAGGAAGAAGCCACAGAAGAGGCTGTACAGGTCAGCTGTGAGCAAAGAGAGATTGACTGAGGTGGCACTCGTTCTCTTCATCACCACTGGCATGAAGCTGTACAGGCCGAACATGAAGGCACTGAAACCAACATAGAAAAGACCTGCAAACACACAGAGGAAGCAAATGATATTAATATACCTGTAGATTATATTTTGTGGTATGTACGGCTACTTCTGTATGTTTGTGTGTGCATGCTTACCTATCTGCCAGTCCCAGGGTACCTTTAGCAGCTCCTTGTGTTCCATGATTGCCCTGCAACAGGCACATGCACACTAAGAGCACTAAAAGTTGTATTCCACATTCCTTGCACACATACAGTATCAATGTATTGGTATCTACAAGTAAAGTTGTTCCACTATGAGATAAAAATCATTCTCCTGGTTTGAAGAGAACAACAACACAACAATCTACTTGTTCATGGCATTAACACAGTCAGTCATTATATTTGCTGGCAGTTACGACAGTGTACGACAAGTTCCCAATGAGGTCTTGGTGCTGCTTTTACAGATTTGTTGGGAATACTTTGGAAATTAGTCCAAATCTTGGTACATTTATTTGTTTGTGTTACTTGGGTTAAAGTTTTGTGATATTATTAACAATATTAATCATATAATACTAAGATTTTGAGTGAGCACTTCACAAAATCTTTCTGTTACAGTGTTTGAACACAGAATGCCAGTTAATCTGTTATTAAATTAGTTAACTACTTATCTTATCTACCATCCTACTATTATATTTATCAGCCATCAGCCAACTCTGCAGTGCACAGGAGGTGAAACTGGCACCTCTCC